GGAAGATGGAGACCGGCATGGAGGTACAGCAGCACTCTATTCCTAGTTCTTAATGGAAATGGGGGAACGAGTGAGGTCAGCGCTAACAACAGCGACGGCGCTTAATCCAAACGAATCAACTTTAATTACAGCTAGAGCAGACTTACCAGAATTATTTATTTGAAACAATTTAGCTCGTAGTAATTCCTGTATTTCACTATTTCCGGAACGTTACCTAGACATTACTTTTTCGTATACGTATTATGCATTCAATCAAATCATCAAATCAAACTAATTCAGTCATTTTAATTGAAGCAATCGTTTGAATGGATGTAAACTATTGAAATACCTCCCTGGTTCAAAAAATTACATTTTCCAAATAAAAATTAAGTTAGTAATGTCAGAAACAGTAATAAGTAGACAAGTTCTAACAATTTTTTTATGTTATGGATTGACTGATTATGGTAGAAACTACCGAAAGGTATTGATTGAAAATCTGTTTTGTGAAAATTTTAATGTAAATGACGAATTTCCATAATGTAACCATAATGTTTACATCCTTAAATCAGTTAAAAATTACAATTTGATTAAGTCCTGATTTCGTTTCTTATTTTCCGGTCGTTGAAAAATGCCCTGCTTTATAAAACAGGTTTAATTATTTATTTATTGCATCAATTGCTAAATTTATTCGGACTTAAAACATCTGAATTTGAAAACTTTACCATCTGCTTTCTTAATTCATATTATATTTTTATTGTCTTGGCATCTAAACTGACAGTCTTGGTACAGGGTGGTGTTTCCTCATAGGCCTCCCTATATAATTTAATAAAAAAGAACGAATTTAAAGTACAAATAGAAAATTTGTAAATTTTCACTCCAATTTTCCAAATCTGAAATTAAAATACAAAGATTTAAAACGTAAATGTCATTTTTTAAAGTTAAATTTCTAACTCTTTTCAGATTTGTTATCCTGATTTCAGAAATATATTTAATGCTAAGATAATTTTAGCCCTTTTCTTTATATTACGTTTTAAAAATTATAAATAGCAACAGTTCAAAGTAGCCTTGACCCATGACAAACAAATAAAATCCATAGAGGAAATAACGATATTTATTGCTACTATAGAGCTACTATTAAAACACCAATCGGACCATCAAATTTTTTTGACAGAATTATTGTCTACTTGGAATCGATCAATCATAACTTGGCAGTAGGTTCTTCTCCTTCTATTGTTTTGATTCTCATTTAAGTGCGGCAGGGGTAAAACTTTGTATGGAAAATATGTATACTTTTTTAAAGTAGAAATTTGGATCTTGTTTTGCACCGTTTATTACCCCAATTTGAATTGACTGTTTTATAAAGGGTGATATCGTATGCAACTTTCATATAGAACATTAATTGGACTATTGTATGCGGCCAAGAAATACAAGGTGTTCAGTTTAAAATTCCTCGTATTTTTTAAATTGTCCGATATTTTCTAATAGGGCATTAATTGGTAAACATTCTACATGCGACATTTTAATTACATTTCACAAGGCAAGCTAATGTTAGTCCATAAGCAGGAACGCAACTTTATAGTTAAGCTAATTACAGAAACAAGCAATATTTTCTCAATTTTAGCAGATAATTGAGGTATTTTTTAAAGAACAACAGACCCTAAATATTTTCAAAATATATTGAAATAATCGGTGTCACTAAAGCAACTACTACATTCCAAACCGGTGGACGTTATCAATTTAATCAAATAACATGGGTTTGCGTTCGAATCAAATTATCACACCCAAATTACAGACAAGAAAATTAAAAAAAAAACAGAAAAATATTACTTAATAATAACTACGGAAAAATATTTTGTGAACCAATATTACAGCGAAGAACTAACAAAATTTACAACTCAACTAAATATATCAATAATTAGGAAAAAAGAAACAATGAATATATATCACTACCATATATTCCAAAAATCAATATAAAAATTTCAATAATACTAAAGCCACACAACATTATAATTGCGGAAAAAACAAAAAAACAACTTATCAACTGAATGTTTCGCAAAACTAAGACCAAAAACTGACAGAATGGATGTACCAAATACTGTATATAGAGTGAATTGTTTGAAATGTGATAATACATATATACGACAAACTAAACAATATTTAAAAAAGAGAATGTACGAACATAAATACAGTCTGAGAAATACTATTGAAAATAAAACAGCATTAACACAACATGCATACCAAATGTTACATAATTTCGATTTTAACAACGCAGATATATTAGTTAAGGAAACAAATTCTCATCAAAGAAGAATCCAAGAAATGATACAAATAAAAAAACACCCAAAAGCAGTAAATTTCAGCTCAGATACCGACAACCTTAGCAACATTTACCAAATCCTAATAAAGCCATAAGTATAGAACACCCAGTACACTAGTGAAAAATTAAAACTATTTCTGCTTATCCCAAAACATACATACCATTCTCCCAAATGTGGAAAATAATTCAGACAAATTTTCAAGAAGGCAAAGATCTAAAAGAACGTAATGTTTACCAATTATGAGGTAAGTTTTTCAAATATTTTGTTCTCCCAAAAGGAAGAATTTTTCCCTCAAGAACTGATGAATGTTTTAACGGTTTATAAACTGTACTTTTGTACAACATATTTTAATTGTAGATTGGTGTTTGTAGTTTGTATGTATTATATTATACCTGCGGGTCTATTTCAATGTTACTTGGCAACAATATTTTACAATGGCTTGACATCGCAAGATGTCCATCCATATTGCATAAGGAAAACTTAATTCCACTATGAGAAAACCCCTTATTTTAATATATAAAATCGTTTCATCAAAACGTAATTTAATTTAAGGCAATACATATATAGCGTCCACGTTAAAACACTAACGATTGGTGTTACATTCGTAACGATTGCGGCCGAAATGCGACGGCCGCGTTAGTTTTTTTAGCAAAGCAACGTCGATTAAAGATTCTAGTTTCGGTTTTGCATTTCCAAAGACTCTAATCGACAGAGTTTTTGAGTTACAAAACTTTTTATTTGACTTTTTGTCTCAAAGTTACTAGGGGAGACCTTTTTTCATCCTTCTTTGGCAACACCAGCAAGTGTATTTAGCCACTAGTGGCTAAAACTTTATTCATTTATCGTACTACAAAGTTAGTCGCGTCGGAGTGCACTTCTGCCCATCAACAATTACTCTGCTTCTTAGGTGGAGAACTTCTTCTCACCTGTTTTATTACAAATTGTTAGTTATTGATTTTTATATAAAAAAATAATTCCTGATCAAAAACTAGCATAGAAACTAGCTCCTAGTGGTGATCGTACGAGGCTCACAGGCTATAAGAGAAATCCATATTTATTACTAAATGAAAATAAGTTATATATCCAGGAGATCTAAAAATGAATGGAATACATTTCAGAACGGGGAAACATCTCAACTCTATTAATTAATGATTTAAAAAATATCAATCAGACATTAAAATCAAATAATTTCATGGCCCACAGCCTTGTTAACATGTTTTTCATCATTGAATAAAGTGAACTATTAACAAAAAATTGAAAACTAAAAAAAATCTGTGGTTTTATTAAATAAAAAAATCCTCGTGTCATGTTCATTTAATTTAGGCAAGTACAAAAATTAAATACGTAAATGAAAAAAATTGACAAAGATTTTCTACATATATTCATAAATACTCTATATATTCATGGACAGATCGATATGATTTATTAGGCTGATTTCAGAAACATATTTAATGCTTAGATTGTTTTAGTCGTTTTCTATATATTACTTTTAAAAATTTGAAATAGCAATAAATCAGAGTGGTATTAGAAAACGACAAAAAACCCATAGAAAAATAAGGATATTTATTGCTACAATAGATTAAACAAAATTATAACATAAATAATAAAACTGAAACCAATTTAATCGTTATGATTCATAATATTGTTTCCTACCTGAAAGTTGCTTGCAGAAACATTCTTTTTCCTACTTATTTGGCCACACCACCAAGGGTTTTCGACTATTGGCGAAAATTTAGCTTGTTAAAGGTAATCGCCTCGTTAACTGCTGTCCATGAACAATTAGTCTGCCCTTAGATGGAGAACATCTCCTCACGTATTTTATTATGAGGTATTAATGATTGCTTATTTTGTAAATAGAAGGATTTCTATTTTCAAAATCTTCGAAAAAATTGTTGATCTTAAGCTAGCAATAAAGGAGCTCCTAGTCTCTAATCTCAATTAGTAAATGAAAATAATTTAGAAATGTTTCCTTCTTGTTTCGATAGGTATTCTATTGTTTACTTCAGGGGATCTCAAAATGATTCCAATACATTTCACATTGATAAAACAATAAAATAATTTTATAACAGAATATTAATCATACATTAAAGTGAAATACTTTCATAGACCACAGGCTTGTTAACATGCATCTGAGCATTAAAGAAAGAGAACTATGAGCAAAAAATGTAAAATTAAACAAAACGCTTTAGTTTTATTAAATCGAAAGAATTTCGTGGCGTCATATTCATGTAATTGAGGCAAACTTTTCGTTTTATCCACCTTTGTTTCTGAACAATGAGCTTTAAGTTGAAGTGAAAACATCTCTGACAATTTGCCCACTCCGTTATGGAAGTAAATAATCTCCATCGTGTATCTTGTGATCTTTGTATCGACATTCTAAATACTCCACCCTCTAATCCTTATAAACATCACATTTTATTATATTATGTGGTATGTATGTATGAAACGTTAACTAGTAACTGTTTAATAATTTGTCAACTAGTTGGCATAGTTTTGTTAGGAATCAATTAGGCACCCTTAAATTTACGCTGTTGTCTAATCCAGATATTCGGGAGAAAGCACGATTAGAATAGGCTAACCCCTATAAAAGGCTAGGGATTGATGTTGGGGCGCCATCCACCCTCTACGCCTCTGTATGTGCAGAAGAAGCCGCGCCACCGCACCGGGGATGGCTGCAGGGCGGCAAGCAGGCGACGCGGGGTTGGGGTGGGAGTGAGGGTGGAAGCCACCCCGTCGGGTCGCGGGCAACGGGTGCCGCAGTATTGGGTGGGTCAGACAACGCAACGATCCTGTACAGGGCCACACGGCCCTGCATACACCCCCAAACGCATCTTTCACGCATCTAACAATATCGATTTTCCTTAATTGATGCCCTAATCAAATGTTTTCAGTAACTAAATGTTCAAATTACTTATAGTGCATCGTTGAAGTTACTAAACTAGGTATTCAAAATGCTTTACCCTTGCTGAGTGAATTAGCAATACGATACCGTTGCTACAGCTCGTTCCCCGTCGGAATGCAAGGGCGGACGATAGTCCGGGGTGGAATGAGTTGTTTTCTGTTGTGAATCACATTTTACTCGTAAGTACAGATTGATAACTCCTTATCTACCCCTATTACAAATTCTTCGCAATAAGTCCCAGTTATGTATGCGTTTCGTGACCTTCACATATTCGACGACCCTGTAAAATTGTTAATTTCACATGAATAAACATTATAATGCGTGTCTCCTGATATCTTAATAATTTAGTCTCACTAGCAGTACTTTTAGACTTCCCTAGATGTGCTGACATAATAATTTACAAATTAAATATTAATGTTTATAACCATATTGTATCTAAATATTTCTGTTGAAAATATTTACTAACGATGTTGTGATGGTCATAAGCGGGATTCTGCGCTGTAGTCAACAAACTTCCTTAGTCCGGGGTCAAAATAAATGTCCACTACAAAACAATCGTTGCAGATTTACAAGGGGGCCAACCAAGAATAATTCTCTGCCACATGTAAGAAAGTACTCGTATTAGGTTTCATTCAAAAAGTTCTTTTGGAAAATGGCCTAGGAAAAATAATTTATCATGATGACCGCTAGGTGGCGTCAGAATAAAACTGTCTCCAGAAACTTTCTATGACTAAAAGCTGTTTTTACAACGCTAGTCAAAAATTCATCCAGTGTTTCTTCGATTTGTCGATAATAGTTAATTTTGGTGTCCATCTGAAAATGCGCTCTTCAATTATTATCGCTTTCAAAGCACTTTTTCCATTTATGGCAATACATGGAAATAGTATTTATACTTTTTTATAAAAGCTGAAATTAGCGGTGTGCGCTAATGGGCTGCTTGCATGCATCGGTAATATTATTAGTTTAACAGCGCAAGCAAATACCAACATTTCGTTGAAATGTTTGCAGATAAAAAGCGCTAATATTTTAAAAATAAACTACGTGACCAAAAAGGTAATCCATTGGTTATCGTCACAAACTGTAAGTAACTTGACGTTTTAAAAAACTTCTAAGTAATTGAGATATAACAAATGTAAACTTATTTATTGGCAAAAATCCGGGGGTGATGTCGATACATCACGGTGATTAGGGAGTACGGGAAAAATAGTACAAACAAATTAACTCTTATCAAAACTGAGATATTTGCAAAAAACTAGATGAGAAGGACGGCAACAATGTGTTTTCAAAAGTGATGTTAATAGGTTAGGCTGACCAGGGTAGTAATCGAATGTCAATATAAAAAGATATGGATCAATGATCTATTTACAATTAAGCTTCAAACTAAATCACAATTTGACAAATGCTTCTTATTCTTGACAAACGCTACTACCTGTAACTACCTGATTGTAGTAGAATCATTTTTTAAGATAAAATTTTTTTATAATTTATTATACGTATTATAATTATTCCAAAAGAGTGCCAATCATACACGGGACTATTTCAAAATAATCCTATTCGATTTTCAACTGTTATCATCTTCTATAAATGTTGGGAAAATAATTTACAGTTTTTTCTCGTACTCTTCAAGTGAGTCCCTCCTTATAACCCCTTAAAAGGAATGACGCAAACTTTTAATCACCTTGTGGTAGTAGTAGTCATCTTTATTTGTTATCCAAAAGGGCTATCGACCTAATCGGCTCTCTGTCGGTTTCTAAATATTAAATCTTTTTGTATGGCTTACAACATATAAACTTCTAGGCCTAAATGAAAGGATGATTGCTTTTTAAGTTTTATTCGCTTCCAGTTTTTTAAAAGCTGACTAAAAGCAAATTGTCTAAAAATAATAGTACGTAAAAATATAGTCAAGTTATGAAGTCGTTGTTGCATAATTTACCAAGAGAAATCTACCAAGAGAAAAGACTATTACAACCACGCTAATCATGTTTCATTTTTCGTTCCCATGAATTTCACCCGTTATTCCGCTAATTTCACTAGGATTGTAAAAAAACGTCCTGCAACCATATTCACAAAATTATTTTTTTGGACCGACTAAACGGACCGTCCACTAATTACACCATATTGCCCCATAAATGCTTTTAATACGTGTTCGAATTGAACATAGAAATCAATCTCATAAAAAATGAGAAATTTGCATAGTCAATTTTAAGTTAATTATTGGCTTACAATTACACGACGCTTATTAAAGCGTGGAAGCCGATAATGAAAAGCTTATTCATAATTTTTATTGAATTTCCATTTTTAAAAGGCAAATTTGAAACCGGCTGAAACGAATTTAAGTGCCTTATAATTTGATATCGGTTAAAAGTATCACTTCCGCTTTTCTACATTTTATTTATTATGCTGGGACGTGACTTATACTAAGTTGCTGGATATTCTGGGCACGTGATAAAGTTTATAATAAAATAAAGCGTTGCAGAACAAATAGTATTCTATTCAAATATTAATAAATAAAACAAATCAAAACTTTCCAACTACTTATAAGTTATAAAAATTATCTTCACTTTATTAATGGCTTTTTGCCAAATACGACCTTGACGAAATTTAGAAACTTGGATAATTCATCATTCCGTCAGCATATTTTATAGCTAAAGTAATGAATCAGGCGCTATTAGACTTTACAATTTTGTAAAGCTATATAGTTTTATTTCCTGAAAGTGTTGACTTTAAAATGCGTTCCCAGTATTTGTTTTTGATAAATTAGTATTAAAAAGCAATTTATTACAAAATTGTAAAAGGTTTAATTTGTCAGAATTACATTAATTTACGCACGCGAAAATATATTTAGTACCGTTCCATTTAGCGCTTTTAAATGACAAACATTATGCGTCTTTTCGATTTGAGTCAACGTTTGATTGTGTTCTGATTTACAATACTTAAGTAATTAATATTCGGATTAAGATGCAATTTTAAACAATTTAATTATTAGAACCACCTTTTCAAGAATTTAAAACATTTTTTTCGGCTTTATAATATACAACTGCGCTTGGAATGGTATATTCAACAGTGAAGGAGATTATATTGTTTTTAGACAATTCGAAAGATTTATCTGGGCATTTCATATTTAACTAATAAATATAATGTCAGCGATACCGGCTCGTAAATATTTTCCGTTTGAATATAAATTAACCTTTTAAAGATTACACGATTAATATCATACCCTAGACGATTAATATCGGACCAACCATAAAATTGATAAAATAGCATTGTTAATATTTAACTTTCAACACTGGCAACATCAGGTTTGTAGATGTAGATCATAGTAACTGAATCTTTACTCTAAAGCATTTGTTGATGGAAAAAAATTCTTTTAACTTTACATTATTTTAGTGCTTTTCAACTGAAGAAAAGCAAAAGCTTTTCTTTGAATGTCTGTACTGTATTATGTACAGTACAGTACAGTTAGTATGTATGTACTGGCATTGGATTTCTCATCTGATAGAGAACAAAGAATAACCATAAAAAATAGAAATTTTCTACTTGTGTACAATGAACGAATTACCAATTATATCAAACTATTGTTTAATAAAGCAGTATTATTCTAGTGAACTATGGAAGAAACTTAAAAAGAATTATCAAAAATATACGGATGTATATATATCCACATTTAGATTTTAATAGAGAATGGTTACCAAAACATTTCTCGAGTCATATGATTGAAAAAATTACTTGATGGTAAATATCGTCTTTAATTGCAGTTTCCACTGCAACTGAAAACATTGACACTAAAGACGCAAATAACTATTTATTTTGCTACAAAAAAATGTTGTCTAGAATCCATTTATTTAAAAGCAAATACTTTGACATTAAGTATTAACAATTTCAGTAAAACACAGATTATAAATAGATATATTATAATTACATTAAGTTTCTTTTTTTCTCATTATTATATTATGTTAAGAAAATAATCAAAATGGGCAAAGGATGTTCAATTTTTTGTTTGGAAAAGCTTTAATCAGATGAAATAGTTAAAGCTTAAAGCTAAACAAGACAAACGGCAATTGGCAAAACAGACTAGTACCGCGTATGAAAATAAAACTATAAACTATGTCGACTGCAGAGTTAATAGATACATGTAGCAAAGTCTAAAACCTGACTATAATTTCTACCCCATTTTAACGTTCCACGAAATTAACAAAATCTTGTACAAATACAAAGAAGCGGTTGTAAGATTTAAAAACTCATCCTTGTGCCTGAAATATGCAATATTTAGTTTTAAAAATGGCAATTTTATGCACCAGTCATTCCACTCATCTTGTCTCTTCTCTGAGTCGACAAAAGTCAAACGGTTTTCGACGATTGCAAACTAGTATTACTCTTTATAGTAAAGCTGTTAATTATGAATGTAATTAGTCTATTAATGCCCAAAGTTTTCCGCATCTGACCAACTTCGACTCATGTGTATTGTTCGATATCCCCATTAAGTCCATTTCCATTTCCGATAAAGTGCATATAGTAGCTGAATTTCCATCCTACTGAGTCAATATACTATAACACATCTAATGTTAGCTATTTTTAGCCAACATTTTGGCTGCTGGACGCACTATTGAATAAGAGCAGCAGTCACCATGGAAGTTGCAATGCCAGTGCCTGGCAGCGCAATTGATTGTTACGAGGATATGTTTAAAGAGATTACCCGAAAATTGTATGGTGAAGATGGACTTCCGGATTTGTCAACGACCGAACGAATACCTTCTTCCGGCACTGATCGAGGATTGACGCCAATTGATTACGAAGTTGATGGTCCAATACTCAAACCTGAAGAACATCTAACCGCTTTTGGGTTAGCTGCTCTGATGCAGAATGGCTTTCCTGCAAGTGGGATTTTAAACACCACATTTCCTACCCACAAAGCGACTATGGGATTGGCTTTAGCTGCATCTCCACAACTGGAAGATAAGTGGGTTAACAGCGAAGAACCTTTGCAGTGGACGCAGTCCAAAGTGGCAACCTACAACCCTTCACAAAAGCTTTTTAGGTGCTCAGATTGTGAATCGGTTGGCTACTTAAATAGAGTGGCAGAGCATTGGTTAGGAACACACTCAAATTTAAGAGCTTTCCACTGCCCACAGTGCTCGTATGAGAGCGCATGGGCAAGATGTGTAAGAATACACTTAGGACGACAACACAATATTAATATAGATGAGTCGTGTGATGTATTAACCAAGGATAATCCAGTTCTTCAAGAAATAATTAAATACCTGCAGAGATTAAAGAACAAACTGGACACTGGGGTGACGTCTAAATCCACCTCCACTAGCATGATTAATCAGACAGTAACCACAGACGAATTTCAAAACATGACATCGCCAAGCAATATCCAAGCAAATTTAACCCAGTCAAGTACCAATACTTTAGGGAATAGCACAGATACCAACGTGGCTTCAAATAAAAGGTACAGTTGCACTTACTGCCCTTATGCGACAGATCGACGAGATTTGTTCACCAGACATGAAAATATTCATAGAGAAGAAAAGCCTTTTCAGTGCTACGTATGTCAGAAACAGTTCAACAGGGCGGATCATGTAAAAAAACATTTTCTAAGGATGCACCGCGATCATCCATATGACTTGAACAGAATTCGAAGACATCCTCCCAAAAACGCATCAGGCATGAGTTATTACCAGAAATACAACTCCAATTCAACAGTGGTTCAACCAGATGCTATAAGCACTTTATCGACAATTAGCTCTTTGAGCATACCTGGATACAACGGAATGACCAGGAGTTCGTCTTCAGTTCCCGGTATTCGTCAGTCAGACGTGAAAACCTTGAGCAAACCAACAACGTTGACCTCGAAAAGCAGTAAGAAAAAAGGCGAAAAACGGTTCACTTGTTGCTACTGCTCTTGGTCTGGAGTAGACAATTGGTGTCTTAAAAGACACATGAATACGCATCTGAAGCCATTTGTGTGCGGTTTGTGTGATTATAAGGCTGCCAGATCAGAACGGCTGGCAACACATGTTTTGAAAGTTCACAATAAAAGAGTTTGTGCTAAATGCAACTTCTTAGCTGATGATTCGACACAGTTGACAGCCCATCAACAAGAACAACAGTAAGTTTTTCATTCATTTCTATATACTTTAAGGGTTGTCATTGTAAATATGGCGATTTTATTTTAGCCCATTGGAGTCACGGAACAGAGCATTATCCGGGATGTCTTCCGGATCATCTTCTAGTAATATTGCAATTGGTGCCACCAGCAACATACTAAGATCTAATGGATTTAACAGCGGCTCGTCGACACCCATTGCAACTGTGACTTCAACAAATGGTGCCAACAATACTAATAGCAGTACAACAACATGCAGGTAACCCCTCAATTGAGGTTCTTAGTTTTTTGCAATAGATAAAAACTGAAGCTGATCGACTTCATACAGCGTTGAGAATGTACCATAAACAATGGTGGTACGCGACTTAATAATTTGGGGCGCACCATCTTACTCAATTGGCAGTGGCAAATACTTTATTGTAGCGTAAATTAAACGATTCCACTGAAAAATTTAAAATATCCCCATCCTCGTTACTTTGAAATTAAAATATCCCGATCCGAACAGTATAGCGACCTACTAAGACCACAAACTGAAATCACAACGAAATAAACGCCGTGCACGTACTAAGTGTGCCAGCTGAAAGCATCGAACTTTTCAGGATCCTCGCAGGTGATCGAAGGGTGTCGTATGAATAATTTCACTAATCAAATTTACTATACTAAGGCCCGGTTTCACCAAGAGTGATTAAATTCTTGATTAACGAATCACAATCATTTTTTGATCACCACTTTAATCATGTGTCATGCGGTCCACAACAAACATTTTAACTCCGGTTAGATAATTATGAGTCTCATCGGGTAAGATCGTATTTCCTTTGAATCTACGGTTCTGATTGGTTCAAACAACAGATTGACAGATCAACTGAAATCATTTTCCCTCAAAATAGTAATCACATGTCGTTTGAACATTGATAGAGAAATATCCTTCTATTACGAAATACGTTTGCGTTTTCTCCCCCAAGGGATTGTACTTTAATATGAGTACAATCCAACACTGAAATAAGTGTGGAAAAACGAGCTAATGCATAAAAAATTACTTGTCTGAACTTATTTCCCTTTTTGTAAATGGGAGTTTAATGTCATTTCGAGCTATTGTAGCAGTTACTCGATGTACAATTCGATGCGGACTAGTTTTGGTTACTCCAAAAAAGTCTCCAGTAGCAATAAGATGCGATCCAGTTGCATAATGCCTCAACATAAGTAAAAGTTGTGTCACGGGTTGAATAGTGTTGTTTCTAAAAAATCCATTTAATGAAAATGTGGCAATTTTACTATTAATCATTTATCATAACTTTCTGTAGTATGTTGCAGGTCTATTTCTATTTCCAGCAGTAATGTTTGGACAGTGTTTTTCGATAAGCAAAATAGCACAAAAAACTCAAGGTGTCCATGATTTCAAAATAATTGACTCGCGGATTAAATATTTGGGGTCTTCTAACAACCTGAATGTCACTATCCTCAGCAGATGGTGGTAAAACATCGCCATAAAACAAATCCAACATGTGTTTACTTAAAATTGTTTGAGGTTATAATACTACACTAATCGTGATTATCGTCAATAACCCGCCATTTTAGGCGATTAAGTTAATCACTGATTAAGTGTCCATAATCGTGGTTAAAATTATGGTGGAACGCAAAGTGTTGATTAAATAGTTTTAATCTATGATTAACATTTCAATAGGAGACGCGATGGATAGTATGCGATGTCGTGCACTGTGAATCAGAGAACAGAAATGGTATTATTCACCGCAAATATTGCGTGAATTTCTTATCAAATGAATACGTACCTAATGTTGTCATGAAATTATTTCAAGAATGACGAAATTTAAATAGGTACGTCTTTTCAAGGAGACACTTTTAAAATTTGGATGTGTACGTGAACATCCAGGTGTCCATGTACACTTGGATCATAAAATGGTTAAAAATCATCACATTATTCACTGTACAGTTTTAGTAGTTTTAAGCCCCTTGATCAGAATTACAAAGAAAAGAAAGCGTTATCATTATTTTGGCTTTGGTGTGGTGGCAATCATCTGGTTTTACCCCAATGTTGAAGAGCCACTGAGTTCAAAATTATATCAGGTTTAATATTGTTTGGTGTGCGTCCGAGCATTTCAAAATACATTCCCCAACAAGCTGACAGAAAGCAGTATTTAATTTTATTAACGTTTCTGAATCAATTTTCCAAAAAATGTTCTGCGCTTTGTGAGTTTTCTAAATAATTGTAAAAACGCTTTTAGAAATGAACAGGAAACAAATCTTGAGTGGTCACGCCACTTTAAAAATTCGCTCTCAATTGATTTGCTTTAATAATTTTCATTTTCGTATTTAATTTCTTATTAACAGATATAAATTCACACTTCGGAATTTTGCTATCGACGATAGAGCTTGTTTCACATTGGATTTTATTAATTCATGATAATTGTCTATGGAAATAATCCGTCAAATTTCTAATAATCATATTTTGGCTTCTTTGCCTGTAGATATGTAATTATTGGAAAATTATTTTGCATACAACTGAAGTATTAATATTTGGCAGTTTCAAAAAATAGTAAAATATGACGTTTAGATATTGTCGGTCTATATATTATATAATATTGCATTTTAAATAGTTTCAAAACTTACAATTTATAGTAATCCCTGATTTAATTTAAACATATTTTAATTTATTACCTATTGAAGAGAAACCAATCTTTTTCCAAAATCAAATTTTCGAAAGCGAGGGAATTTGCTGAAACGGCTCTAAAGTGTCATAACTTGTTTAATGATTCTCGTAATTCACCAATGTAATGCATCATTCCTGCAAAATCTGTGAGAAAAAAGTTTTTATTGCCTTAAAAGGGTTAATGTTTCTTTTAATGTATGAATGCATATTTTTGAAAAATGAAATGATTTATAACCTCCAAGTAAAAGCGCATTATCTTACGATAATTGTATTTGGGTATAATTTTTTTCAAAAGCACTTTTCGTTTTTGTTTTAAATCAGTCTGTCTGGGTTGGATTATAACAAATATTTTAGATATTTCTTTACGTTAGTTTCTAAATTTAATAGTGTATTTTAACGAAAGCACCCTTGAATTTTTATACATGAATTTTCTTTAGGATTTTTTTTATTTCAATTTTCTTTTTAATGGTAAAACTTTTTTACTTTTCATTTCATTTAAAACCATCATTTGTTTATCGATTTCACATTCGCTTTTGCGTCGGTATCATTTTCCTCACTAATGTCGGATTCTTCACTTAATTCTTGGAGCTGCAGTTATTCAGTCGAACACTTTTTAAGACTATCTATCAAAATGTCGCTCAGCTCTTTTTTGCAAATTCCGCAATTGTGTTGTTATGATGATCTCTTTTGTATTTTTGTCAGTATTGTTACGATTTTGGAACTCTTTATTATGCTTTTATCATTGAACAACTCCGATATTGAATACAGACAATTATTTATTGGATAATTATCTCAAATCTTTGACTAACTTTAACTGAACTGTAAGTATCGTTCGGGTGACTTAAAATTTCGCGCTCACTTGCAAAAATAATTTAAAACAAGCTATATATACATATGCTTGTATACACCTTCAGATTCAAGTATTCTGTTGTAGCCCTAAACAGTTAAGGATTGCAATGCATGTTCGAAAATTCAGTGTTTAGTATTAAATAATTTAAGAACTAGAACATAAAAATTGTGGACACCTTGTCCCTATTGGTGGAAAAAGTAATAAATTTGATGCAGTTCATTCTTCTTAATAGCTGTATGGAGTTCTATTAACAGTCATAATGATTTAATAAACATCACTTGAAAATGTAATTTTTTTTGTTAATAGTTCTGCCCAGAGTATCATTAAAAATGCGGACCTGACGGCTGCAGCAGCTCAGATACTGCAACATAATCGATTTCTCCAAAATGAAGTGAAATCATGGAAATGTCAGTTACCAAAACAGCATGGTGCTGCGCGGTTGTTTAGCTATATGGAAGCAAGCGATGGATCAGATCCAGAATCTGAGTCTCAACCGCGGAGTAGTACAGCGGAAAATATGACTAGCAGGGTAAATTTAACGCATAGAATCCAGTCGGATTTTCTTGAGGCGGGAGGTGTGGAATTAAGCCACCCGGAAGCAGAAGAAGAAATAGGAGGAGAAGAAACAGAACTTCCCTTGTTCGTCTGCCACACGTGCGGATGCGAGTTTGAAGACGATTTATCATTGGAGACCCATCAGTATACGCATCGCCACGTTACCGCATCTCCCGCTAAAAGTGAGGATACGAAGGAAAATGTTGATCCTTATAGAAAATATTGCTGTAAGTTATGTGATGCTTCATTTGAAAATCAAAGTAGTATAATATCACATATGGCAATTCATACCAACTTGACAGCTAAGCCAGTCGTATTACCCACTCCTTTAAATATTTGTAAAAGAAGCAGAAAACAAAGTAAGCCGAAGAAGGTAGTGATTCCGTATTGGGATTCGGATGAAGTGGAAGTTTTGAGACACTTGAATGGTAAACTTAGAAAATGGAAAGGATATTTATCATCTGAGGCCTCGACCGGCGTCAGCAAGCTTGTAGATAAATACATGGCACAACTTGTAACTAAAAGAGGTTTAACCTGTAAAATTTGCAGATATTCAGGAATTAGCCGCTATCACACCAGAACTTCATTAGCATTACATCATTACTGGAAACACTCAACCAAAAGATTTTCCTGTGAACATTGCAACATGACTTTCAAACATCGATACCAAACCATATTACATTCCAGTAGAATTCATACAGAACAAAATCAGCCATTGCCTCTTCCGTTACCTCATGGTAATAAAATTAATGTTATCAGCAATTTAACAGTTGCGTTACCCCAAATTAAAGAGGCCACTCATGTTTCCTTAGAGAACGTTTCTGCAGCGGACATTAACTCTTTCACCAATTTTTTTAATACTCATAATGTTGCTGTACCTGAAGCTAATCTGTCAAATGCCCATAAGCTTGGGATGTCATTTTTTGACCATTCGTTTATTCAGAATAACGTCAATAGTCATATGCCCATTATCATACCAACTTTTCAGCCGAATTAGTTTTCCAATTTTAGTTTAACTAGGTTTCAATTAACTAGAAATATTTTTCTTGTGCACAAAACCTTTTCTCTTTTACTTTTTTATTGTGTATTTTGTAAAACTCTCCAATGTATTAATCAGCTTTTTATATATTTCAAAGAGCTTGTATATAGTAGTAAGTCTTTTCAAATGTACAAAATCGTTATTTGTTTGCACGTATCAAGTACCTAATGTTCATCATAGAAACGTTATACCTGACATGCTTTAAAATCGTCTGATTTAATTTTGTATATTACATTGTGCAATTACTGGTAAAATTAGGGGCTGTCATCTATCCAACTTTATTCGTTTCATTCATAACCACAAGTCTTGATGAAGCTAGCGGAATACGTTTACAAACTCGGGTAAGGTTTTTTATACATAAATATTACGAAGCTAATATTCGATCAAAAAGTGACCTTCCAAACATTTTTGAATAGAGCTCTGTATAGTGGTACTGTTACCGAAAATTTAGAATATATTTTATTAATGTAACATATTAAAAACTCAATTAAATTTTCGGTGGCAGAAAAGATACTGACATTTTTATAAAAACGTACGAATATAATAGTAGATATGATGCAGTTAAGTTATTCTGTGCAATACCTTTTGTTATATCATAATATATTTGAATACTATTTTGTTATTAATTTATGTTGTTTCCTTAAACTTTGTTGTTATTTTTTAACTAATCAAAATGAAAATTCTTATTATCTCTGTAATGCAAGTAAGCTAAATATTGCAATGAATATTTTTTTTAGGCAACTAGAGATATAAATGTTGTTCGTTTGTTTTGTTATCAATTTCTTTGACTATCATTAATATGTATATGTTTATGTATTTATTAAAAATATATGCGAATAAATGTGAAGTGTCTTTAGTTTTTTCTTTAACGGATAGATATACATTTAGGTATTTTATATATATAATAGAGTATTTATGGATATATTACCATATTAATTATACAAATGGTACTATAAACACTCGATTTACGAGACACGATTATGTCTTGCACCTGCACGAGAGTATTTGTTCGTGGGTTGGACCATATCAACTATTGTTCAATTCCTCATCATATTAGAAGCCGGTTACACAGGGAACCATGTGGTCTTCATTCAATCTCGCATGCCTTAAATTACAACTGAACCTCGCTCTTTGCTAAGCAAGAGTTTTCCAAATATACTGTCTATGTAATCGCCTACATACGCCACCCTGTAAATTCATGCATCTCCCGTATTCTGATAAACCTGTTTTGGATTCTTTGAAGTAACAGAATCGTTCTATCATGAACTCAACACGAAACAGAAGCTTCGTATGTCAGTATGCGCCTTATCGTAGAAGTATGGAAGTACTAACCTAGAAAGTATGGAAGAAGTTTTGAGGGAACATGAAGCAATTTGGCCTCAGAAAGGAGTTAACTTCCTTTGAACCATGATTGTCAGGAAGGTCTTTTGCATAGAATGGTTGATATATTTTCTGAAAGAAAGTCGTTTTGCAGCATCAGTGGTGGAATGCTGTTGAGTATTATGGTCATTATAAAGTAATGGAGAGTGTAGAAAAATGTCTAATGTTCTCTGTCTTTCAATGAAAGGAAAATCTCAATATACACCTCGCGGTGACGGACGCTAACACTTATCGTGACTATCATGATCAGACCCATCAAAATCTATGAGGCGGCTGCTTAGGAGTCCACGCGAGTTCCATTCCATCTATCCGCATAGAGCACAAATAGAAACATTAATTGCTTAATGAGTAATACCTTTTGAGGGGCTTTTGAATTGGCTCATATGATGAGAACGATACTTACGTGTATATATAAGCTTAGGAATTACCGCTTAACAAGGTAGTTTTACAGCGCAAAAATCAGTGTGCAAATCAGCAAGCGCCTAAAACACTTTTCCGAAATTTTGTTAATAACGGGTTCACAGGACAACTTTAGAAAATTTTATTTTTAATAACATTGTTTTTTGTTGGCTATTAAATTATTTGAAAATTTCGTACACTTATTACTCAGGACCTGTTGCATTATTGTCCGATTGTTGAGATTTAACCTTAATGCTAAGGTTAAGAACTCACCCTTGTTATACCTTTAATAACCTATTTTTTTTTGGTTCGTAGATATTTGCATTGTAGTCTCTAAAAATTTCAAAAATCGAACTTTAATGCCGTGTGGATCCGATATTATTGAGATTTAAAAAGGGATGTCGGAACTTGTCATACTCATTAGAACTAACTAAAGTGTTGATCGCATCGTTTCCGAACACCCTGTATATGTTAGTTTCGGACGCAGAGTACGTGGTTGAAATACATCCTTTCTCATGAACAAGCTGTATCACCAGCGTAAATAATATATATAATAAATTCGGAAGCCCCTCGCATGTGTAGAAGTGTGTCAAGATTAAAACTAGCTACTGAAAACAAACATTTGGAATTTCTCTCTACTTAAGTAAAATTTATTTGTAACCATAAAATTAGAGCAGAAAATCTGATATTCTAAATAATCTAATTTGAAATAAATTATAAATCATAAGCAATATGAACTCCAGCGACGCTGCGCCTTAATAGGCCCCAAATGAAGTCTATGTCGATTGGTATGATTAAAAATTATGTGAAGGTACTATTGCGAATAAAATCTATGGGAAGAAAAGATTTCTGGATTTTACAGTTTTATAAACTTGATTTTATGTAACTTCTCTTTGTGAATAGCAGTCACAACATTTCTATTCAGCTAATATGTACTTATATTTAGTTAATTTAATAGCAACCGATATATTAGTCGGAAAGATTTTCCTTACTCAAAAAATATACAGTGACGCTCTTTAAAAACACTAATTGCTACTAAAAGTAGTAACCAATGCACGCATTTGACTATGCATGTCAATAAATACTCTTTTAGCTTTGAACAATTATTTACATTGAATCATAGGTAACAAAGCCTGACTCATATATTTGTCGGCATCAAATTCCGAAATCCACCAAAATTAACATTCTCTAAATTCTATAAAAAATACTTAGTTTCAGTAGAAGTTGACTTTCTTGAGATTCTTTTAAATACCCTCTGTGAGCTTTAACTTCGATTTCTTGCCTAATATTCAGGTTGGTTGCAAATAAATTACATCGATTTATTAACACCAACACAACAGTGCAACCAAGTTTTGTTAAACCAGTTACGGTGTTTCGTCAAAAAATAAGGATTTCGGTCTTTCACACCGACCTGTAAATTAAATTAAGACTTTTTTTATACTCTACATACGACTTTTGTTTGAAAGATCACAATTTACATTACAGATCATTTTTAAATAATAAAAAAATATATTTATAGTGGAATTTTGTACTTAATATTAAAAATAAGCACGGTGGATGATGTTGGGAAATTATTATTCAACTTGCAGAAGTTGCATCCATTTGCTGTTATAAACATAATATATATTAGAACTTCAAATATTTCGTAACATGACTAAATTTAGTTAAAACTTTCCGATCATCTTTCTACGCTATTAATACTTAGTTCAACTGGAAGTTATAAAAGCTTCCATTCGCCTATTCTTGACTACGTTGGCACTGAAGCAGTAGGTCCACAAAGTACACATTTCAAAACCCCATTAATTGACAATACGTAGATTTGTTTTTTTAAATAGCTTTGAAAATCTAATGTTGTCTATTTTATAAGAAATCAACCAGTTTTACTATTGCAGATACAGTATACGAAGTATACAAAATAACATGAGTTTGTCTAAATTACAAAAAATTTGTAAAAAATAATTCTTCATATGTATACATATTGTTAGGAAGTTATTTTGCAGCTTTCCTAAAATGCCTCATTCTAAATACACAATACACAATACTACAGATTTTGTCTAGAGGCTCTATGAAGTTGTCCAAAACACTTAAGGTACATCTTCTTTAATCTGGAACTCTAGAAAATGTCCAGGTCATTCGTATATTGTCTTTTCCAATAGTTGCCATTCGAAATCCAATCTTCCTGCTGAGTATAAGGATTAATTTGTTGAACAAACCATCTGAAACGAATCACAAGCCTGAAACACTGCTGTTATTCAGATGTGCCGGATTTCAAAAGCTTATTAAACTTGAGTGAGAATGGTTGCAATCTTCCATAAACCATTATATTCACCTATTCAACTTTTACTGCAAGTATCTGGTTTACCAATTATTACATAAGTCAACGGAAACTTTCTCATGTTTGCATTTTTCATTTCAACATACACATTTAGATAAATTAGTTATAAATAAATTGATTACCTTGGCGTCCACTGAACAGCATGTTTACTCTTCCTCTGTTTATTGGCATCTCTTTGCTTCTCTTCCAGTCTAGTTTTTTCTATTGCGGCTCCGTCAATATCTCCTTGTTCCAGTTTCTTAATATCAGGTCGAAGTCTAGAGTCGGTTGGGCAGAGAATGTTCTCCATCCCGGGTTCCAATTCATTAAGAGCCATTGCAAACATTGTAAACTGATAGTACTGATGAAACCTCAATTAGTGATAATATATTTACTTAAAAGTTGGTTTTTGTAATTACTTACATCACCGCTTTGTGGTGGCCTGGGATTTACTTTCCAGATCGTTTTCGAATTTGGAATATCCGGAAGCACATCGGAATCACCTTTCGGAAGGTCTTCTGGATCATCGACATCATTTGGCTAAGGTTTTATTTCAGTTATATTATTTTTATATACATGATCAATATAATTATTTAAACTTTTACCTCTTGAGTGGAATTTTGAGACCTAAATGTTGAGACCTTTAGACTGTTAAATTTTTGTAGCATTTTCCTGGAAGTGTGCGAAGGCGAATCATTTGGGCTTTTACTTCTAGCTTCGCCACATTTGCTGGAGCTTTCTTTAATAAATTCTTCGTATCTGGCATATTCGGTGCATTTAATCAATTCAGTCCATTTTCCATAAACGTAAAAGAGCTTTTGCTTTCTTAAAACCACATAGTTGTAACATAACAGAATATAATTATTTGTAATATTCGTACAATTTATCGGAAATGTGGCCTTCAATTCTATGCAGGTTTTTAGAACTTCCCCGGGCTTGCTTAAATGTGAGATTCGCCTTATAACCAGAGTTGCTCACTATTTCCATATTTCCGCATTGTTCCATCCACATTTTACCCATAATGATATTATGGACACAGCATGTGACGTTGTTCCAAGTATATGCTTCTTTCAACCTAAACGCCCATTTTCAACATCGGATATTTGAGTTAGTTATGACTTACTTCGGAAACTCTACAGTAACGGTTCCTTTAGGTTGAATTTCCACACTTTTGCCCCAAAACTTTAACTTAGGATGGACAGATCCGTGGAACACCCAGTCATCGCTTTCAGCATGAAATGCTGATACTGGTGGATGATGGCTTACTTGTTCACAAATTATTTTGAAATCCTCTCTTTCCAGCTCATAGGTTTCACCAAGTAAGGGATTGAAGGGCTTTCCCAGACGCTCCCAGTTTGAAGCAAGAGCACTGACCGCAAACCCTATCAAATGGAAATTGCAATTTTTAGCAGTTAAGTTCTTTACTTTGAGAAAAATATCCTTATTATTAACGTTGAGAAAATGTGTATGTTAATGGTTTCAAACAGCAACATACCAGCGAACCACAGTTTTGTAATACTCAGTTTATCAAATGACGTGATTACAAAAGTAACAAGTTTAGTAGAAAATCTGATGGGCTAATTTTTATATCAACTAAAAGGTAAACAAGGTAAATGAATACAGAAAATTGCTCGCCCCCAGTTCTGGTTTAAGTCAATAGCCTGTTCATTTCTTTTAAAGTCATGTGGGTAATAAAATGATGTAATTAAAGTCTATTCGATAAGGCTCGGGGTCTTTAAAATTATGTTTTAAAACGTTTATTCAAAGCTCCGTTGCCCTACAAACATGTTATATTTAAGAATTCCCTCATCGGTATTCGTCGAATCAAAGATGGGATTATTTAAACAGTTGCATTTTCAGATTATGGCAACTAGTAAGTTTTCGTGCTTTCAGACTGTTGTGGAAGCGAATTTCTTCATAACGTTTCGCAAGCTGCCACACAGTCGCGACTCTCTGTGGCTCTTCAGAAAATCATCCTCAGGTTTTCTTTTAAGGGAAGTCAGTTATTGTGCCTGTATTGTTGATAATCCCATTATTCTTTCTTTTCTGAAGTGGTTAGTGTGCCAATGGATGTATCATTATGGTATTCTCTTATTAGTCAGGGCTGCTTCCGCAAATTTTATGTTGCTTGTTTCTTTGATGAGGACATTTTTCTGGACTCATCTCGTCTTTTTGTCTACGCTTCTACAAGAGCATGCTTTCGGTAGACTCCTGCGTTTGTAAGTAAAGGCGTTTATCTATAAGCGACCTTAGAGGATCTCAAATCTTAGTTGCGGACTTGTAGGTTGTTTTTATATCATGTTTTCCCACCAGCGTCACTCAAGAAATAAAAATAAAATGGTTTTCGTGTTGTTTCGCTTTCTGTTACCACCCAAAGGCGACTCCGTTCAAACACAATCGTTTCTGAAAACGCGGGAACCGAGTCAGACACCGAATGGGCACATGCGTTTGTGTTCAACCAAACGAATTTTCATGCTGTTTGCCTCATTTAAGCAAACGTATTCCACCGGAGCTTACAAAAACAGGATTTATGGCATCATCCACTTTTTTCTACTGTTTTACTTTTGCAAGTATGTGTAAACAATTGAGTTTTACATGCAAAACTTAACTTCTTATTTAATCTTCAAATGTTCGCAATTACAACCAAAAACATCTAATTTCTGGCCTAGAAGCATGATGACACGCACATATATTCGAAGGAAAAGCACAAAAAAACTAAATTTCTAACTTAATGATTGAAAGTGTCATTTACCAATAACATATTGTAGTCTTTCAATAGGGTCTTCTTGTTGAGCGGCGATTCTAAGCAAATGAGCATATTCCATATACTCAGCCATTCTTTGCAAAAAGCTGAGCGGTTCATTGAATACTACCGGCATGGTTATTTTGCTTAATTCCTTTCCAATACAATTTTTTAACACTGCCCAGATGTTATAGTCACTGTGAAACATAGGCACTGGCAATACAAGTCTAAAATAATAAATATAGTTAGGTATTTTATTAAACACGATATTTGTGCAAATTAGCGGTATATATTAATTCGTCTTTTTAGCTGTTAAAAAAATTATCCAAATCACGATATTCTTGTAAAATTAGTGAATTCAACTCTAAATGCGACACACACAAAACACTTTTTACTTGACTGATATTTCTTTTAAGCATTTCTGATGATCACCTTTTAAATATTGAAGAATTGATAATATTTGCAATAAATATTATAAACTGCTCACTTTGTTATTTAAGTACTGATTTGGACATGGCAATGACCCACAGGCATATCTAATAATAAACTATTTAAAGTTCATAAACCCAATACTTATTTTAAATTGTTGTTTGGTCTCATACGAAATCTGAGATATATGTGATTAAATTTACCATAATATAGATTTGCTTTTTCGTAAAAGCAGTAGCTTCCAGGTAGTAGCAGAAATCATTGTAGTTGGGTAAAATCGCATAAAAGCAATAGATTCATTCGTTTTGACATGTCAAAATTTCACTGCTTCTGTTTTCTGCAGTTATCGAAATAGTCAAGTTAACGGAACGAGCGAAAATACCCAAATAGAAGTGTCTCAATAATTTAAAGAAATTAACCGTGACCGTCCTTTCATATGTCAAAAGGCGGTGAGTAGAATAGAAGCTAATTTCGGAGAATTTGGTCATTTAGAAGTTTAGCCTAAATCCGGACGATCCGCTGGAGATGAAAATGCACAACTTGTCGTTCCACTTTATTTGGTAGAAAATCCATGTTTTGCAAATTGGGGTCAATTTACACATGCGGAAATATCCTATTCACTGACTAGTTCGAACTCGCAAATATCATCCCTACAAAGTTATCCCAGTGCAAGAGTGATTTGAAGATTTAAAGCATGCAAAATATGTGGAATTTAGATAATAAATTAGTAAAAAACATGATATTTTTTCCGGTGAAGCTACGTTTTGTTTGAATGGTTATGTGAACCGACAGAACTGTCGATATTGATATAAAATTGATATAAAAAAATAACTGTTGTGGAATAGTGCCCCGAAAAGCAAGAGGATATTTTTTCTTTCAACAGTTTTTAACTGGGCAAGTACATCTAGATTGCTGTGTTTATTTCCAAATCCGTTAAGGCCAGACAAAGATCTGATTTTCGACCTAGATGGTGCATTTTTGGATAAAAGCTTTCCCCATCCAATCCTAGTGGCCTCGTAGAGCGCTAGACCTCACTCCGATAGATTTTTTGTGGGAATTGAGGACTACAGAAATTTCAATTAAATAGTTGCTATTAATTATTGATACATATGTTTTTCGCATTTAAGTGTAAAAAAATTGCTTTTACAAATAGAAATTGACGGCACCAACCTTTTCTCCAAAAAGCACTTCTCCGCTCAATTTGAAACACATTTAAACATTACTTCTGAGACTCACACTCACCCACTCACCAAATCACTAACTGACACATACAGTTGGTGACAAAAAGTGCTAACATTTATAATTTTTTGGTATTTTGTAAACTTCGGTTAGATATTTACACGTCATAAATTCACGTTCAATGAAAGGCATTAAAAGCGAGAAGGATTTAACAGACCCAAATCGAAACCCTTTTGAAATACTGTATTATCGGGTGAAGCAGACTGGTAAGTTTACGAAATGTAGCAAATCGTGCAACGGGCACTGATAAAGTTATCGTAAATTCCATACAAGCAGAACCTACATCAAATGTCGTACAATTGTGTGTTCAGTTGATTTGCCCAAAATTTACAGTCTGTAGAATATCTAAAGAAAAACATTTATGTCAACGGCACAAAAGAACTCTACTACTGTTAATTATTTAAAAATATATTCCACTATCTAAATTATTAACTTCTCTATCCACCTCTCTGTAGGAATAGGAGGTAGAAAAATAATTACTGGAACTTGAGTTAATATTGTTTGTGTTCCATTCAAACCTGATAAATCGGTCACTTGAGAAAATTTGGAATACCCTGTAACAGGGTTTCGGACGAACAATGTGAGACACTTCATGTAAAAAGTATCTGTTTTATTCACTTTTCTTGTATTCTCAATGGCTCTGGAGATATTGCAATTTTTACATCAAATTACAAAGTCGTATTAGTAACGTAGGATAGAGTAATTTTAAAAACGACGAGATGACTAACGCGAGGGTAATCAAATCAATGAGACCACGATTCAATAGATTTGGATATTTTTAGCAGAGAAAATGTGTGTAAGAAATATATCCTTCTTTTTTTCCAGACTAACTTCCTTAAGTAGTAGAAGGAGAAGGTAAATAATTCTCCAACAAAGCTCGGTTCACCTGTCCACTGTTCAAATTCCGGTAAAAAAATTCTGGTCCAATAATTTCGTTATTAATTATTCCAGACCAAACGCTTACGGATAATTTTCTCTGAAAATGGAATCGAAAATTCTCGAATAGAATGTCCGTTTTAGATTGACCTACATCTAATTGGATCATTGGCAGGAGCTTTTGTAAATGTAGTTTTGCCTCAAGAAGGTGTTTTCGAGTACGAAGAGAGACGTTGTGTGGTGAAGTATATCTGACGGGAATGATTCCACAGTCTATTTAGTAGAAATGCATTTAGTATTATCCACAGAAGATTGATAAAATTTGGAGCTTCTAAAAGGAGACTCTTTGACGTGGACTGTAAGAGACGGTCACGAACAGAAGAGGTTGAAGTTGGGTACATAAAAAGACTAAATCTATGCATAGACGAAATACAAGAAGATTTGGAATTTTATTATGAAGCTATCTATTAAAGATTTTATTAAAACATTTCGTTTCATTGAAGCATTTCTGTTCTGTTAAAGGATCCTTTTCATGGAAATTAGTTGCCATTGATGCTCTGCCAGACATTCTTTAAAGATGTTTTCCTCTAAAATAGCTCTTTTTCAATGGAGAAACTTTCAAAATTTCAAAAAAAATTGAGTGGACATTCATTTTTTATTGAGAATCACTCCCTGAATTTTTTGCGTAGCAGTTCTGGGTACCCTGTGTATTCTTAAACAAAATGAAACGTAAACGTTAATCAATCTGTGTTTTTAATACTTTCAAGTTTCGCATTGCAAGGGCCATTGTAAATGGCCTGCAGCCCACGGATTTAGCATGTGCTTTAAATTATTTTGTATATAAAAAATCTCTTTTGGTTTATTAATATTTTTGTTATCATTTTTGAAAGGAAGATTTTCAATACTTCCTCGAACAATGGTAGTAGGAAAATGTGTAAGTAAATCGAAAATGGGGGAAGTTAGGTAGAGTACGGCGGTAACAATTGAAGAGAGAGGTGCTTAAAGTTTCTTCATTAGTTATTGAATTTACAAATGGCTGGCCCGAAATCCATTTATATAAACTCTATATAACGTTAAAATGAAACAACAACATTGAACAAAAGTTTGAACATTTTCTGTTTTGTATACTTAGTACATACTTTATACTAGTGCTAATAAGTTAATACTTATTAAGTCAAGGCAACTGTTAAATATATTTAGAGATTCGCAGTCGTTTTCGTCAATTTAAGCACCTGTTTGGACCCTTTCCCAACAGTGCATTCCATATGTGGTGTAATAAAATATTGATTAGGAATACCTTAAAATATTTTGAAATTTAGAGCAAGTGAATCAATTAATGATTTGATACTGTAAATCAGTAATTGACCTGTAAGTGTTTTGATTGCACAACTAGTTGACCGATTTGTTGATGCAATTAGTGACCTTTATAAACCATTATATTTTAATTAAACGTATTATCCTTCACTGTCGTTGAGTTTATTTAATTTGCTTGTAATTTGACTGGAGATGAAACATAAAAAATTAAGTCTAGATGAGTGAGAACTATTTCATTACAATTTACAGTCACAACCATGATATGAATTTTAATTCTTTTCGTGCTAGTTTGAAAGTGTGTGATCAATAGCGGAACAGGCGTTGTAACAAAACATATTAGCAAATCTTACCTATATTCTTTCTTGCTTTGTTCCATCCTTCTGAGTAATATTCAGGACCAGAAAAACCTTTACAGTTGTACATAAGCATTCGACTAAATCTCTATATATCTAGAACGAGAAAATCTCACTGTGCATTTTTACCCATGTAGAAATATTAGTTCAACTGCACGAAACACATTATTAAGTCAACTAATGTTATTAAATTGCTAAATCAGTAGAATTATTGTACCGATAAGCGACAATAATGAAGCAACAGTACGGATGTTGTGCAGCAAACCGTTCATGCTTATATATCAACCGTCAAACTTATATTATTGATTAAAAGGGTCCATTTATAACTTTACTTCCAAAACTTACCAGTGATTACAACACAATCGGCTTACCCTTCTGGGTCACGGAAGTAATCAATACTAATTTAACTCAAGTTTACCCCGAAAAGATAAATTATGTTAGGGGCTCCATGCACTTGACGCGGTTTAATTAAACATTGTACCCCATTCAGTAAAATCAAGAGTTGCAATAAGGGATAAACAAGATGGAATATAGGGCAAATCTTGCCTAACCGCTCCAGCACGCTTGCGTAGTTTATGAAAGTTTCCCCTTGGATTCTTTTGAAAACGATGAGATATTTGGAGGTATTACTTGGCCAGGCATTTTGGGTCAGATATAATTCAAAGCAAACTTTTTATAATTAGAATAATGCTCTGTGATTATAACATATTAGTACGATATATCATAATAAGCAGGAGAAAAACTTATTTGCTTTCTACTTTGAGATATCAAGTGACTTAAAAACATAATTAAATAAATTACAGATACAAAAGAAGAATTGGTCTAATCATAGATCTGATCTATTATTTCAATTGGATGAATCTTTTTGCACGTTTTTGCGTAATTGCTCAAGTTTATTTAAGGATTCCAAATAACAAGTACAAACTGTTTTGTTTCTCAGTGGTCTAATTTTAAAGAACTACCCTGCTGTGACGCTATGACCAAAAAGTTTTGATCGACCGGAAACAGTGATTATTTTGCCACTTTTTACAAAGCATTTTAAACATCAGTATTAGTTGTGTTTATTAGAAAACGTATAACTTCGTATAAATATTCAGCAGTTTTATCAAAATACGTATTAATAGATAAATAATGACAGAATATTGGTATAATGTTTTGCCACAATTTTTGGTCAAAAACCTGCAGTCCGCATGGTTTTTTTCAGATGACGGTTGTCTGAAATTCAACCGTTCAATTTGAACGACTGTCCATTAACCATACAACGTTCAACTTTTAGCATAACAAATCACTTAAGTAAATTATAATGACCGGTTTGAGAGTTTCTTCTAAATGTCTCCTTGTCGTCGTTGAAAACGTTTTCCTATAGTGTACTTTCTGTTCGCTACCAGTAGAATCGATAAATTATTGTTATTTTTGTTTGTTAAATAGCTTTGAACAAAATTGAAAAACCTTCATCTAGGATTGCGGCCTAGAAGTACATACATGTAAAAGCAGGCATGTTCAAAGATATGTCCGATATAAATATTAGATACTAATAAAGCATCTACACAATAGAGCATAATTAGCAAGTATTTAATAGCCATAGATGAAACTTATCTAGAATATTATAAAGTGACATTTTAGAGCTTTAAATTGCCAAAACTCCTCTTGGATGTTACTGTATCGAGAACTTCATGTTTCCAACAGCTGTTGTTCTATCGATTTTTAGGGCCTCAAAGCGACGCATATTTGGAAGTGTTTTACTTACTTCTGTTGCTTATTCTATCTGTTATTTCCCAATTAATTAACCTCTAGTAATAACTATCTTTGCAGTATGTTGAGTTGATCATATCGTTAGTGTAAGCGAATAGAATGCATCAATACAACGTTATTTGAGTTATTCTTTTTTTTATTGATCAGATATTATATATAACAAAATCTATAATAATTAAATATTATCCAATTTATCGTTGGTCTGGTAACAACAAGTTATTTTGGTCAGACAAGATCTGAACACAGAAAAATTATCCAGAATATGTGGTAAACTCTTTCGCTTAGCTTTGTACTAAAATCACGTTTTTTGTATCAAGATATTTATCAGTCACGTCAGTGTGCTTTAGAACAAAATTCAGGAATTTACGTTTTCCTGAGGAGGAACTAGTAGGTATTGGTTGAAATGTTTCACTGGGTCTCACAAAAGTATTTAAAAACAAGGGATACGTTGGAAAGCTTTTGGTTGTTGAAGAAAGTTGCTTCTGAAGTAGTAAGCAGTCTGAGTCTGCTTGTTTCTCTCTGTGTCTGGAATATCTACAAAAATCATACGGCATAGAAAAAAGAAATGTGTGAAAGTAGGTATACTTCCTTGCATTCCTGGCTTTTCATTGTTCGATTTTACTTGATTTTTTCATCACATTGTCCTTGAAGAATGAATTTTGAGTCGCAGTACATTTTTCTGTATTGCATTAACTTTTGAGTTAAAGATGAGTTAAAGATGTGTACAATTATTCTCAATTATAGGAAGTTTTTTTAAACCGCCGACGTTTTTCTAGCATTTTCTAGGCATCCGCAAGGCACTAAACATTAAGGGAAGGATCGGTCTCCCCTAACAGCGAACTGCAATATTTAAGTTGTGGTTATTACTTATTTTCTTTATAAAATTTTCTTAGTCATTTATTTAGACACTGGGCACATAATCTGGTCAGCTGTACAATGATGTTATAAGTACCCTATAATATTATACAATTAAATACCGGAAGCTAATATTAAATGTAAATTAATATAAAGGCCTAAGAACCTAATTCTAATGTGAGTAATAATCATTACTTAAATCAAATCGTAGACTTTAAAGAGACATTCAGTGTCGGACCAGGGCTTGCTAGTACTTCTTGGTGAACTTCCTCCAGTTTTTTTTTCTAATGAACCAGACATACTTGTATTAAAAATTATGTATTTTTAATCATCGTTAAATTTTTTTAGTTTAAAACGAAGTAAACTTTAATGACCAACAAAAACAAATAAATAAAAACATATAGGTATGGAAAAATTAAATGAGTTAATAATTGTTAAACATATTACCTCGTTCAATGACATGAAAAATAATGAAAATAAAATACAATAGTAGAAAGAACTAGAAACATAGGGAACTATATACATATATGTACAGGGTGTCCCAACGATAGAGTTAAAGAAGTTTACACTTAACCGGTATTATTTGTTTCAAAATTCTCATCGTCGTATTGTGAAGCTGATAAACACGCATATTTTGAAAAATAGTTCTAGTTATCTGAGTGCGTCAGAAAAGCTTCACCTCAGAAAACAACTTTTTTTTTAATGGAACATCCTATATTTAATTTTTGAATTCTTATGCAAAAATCTATTATTAAATAATATTATCTTGAATATTATTTTTGTTTTATATATAGTTTTTTAGTAATTCGTCTTTAATGACGAAAATTCGTATTTTCATCGTGTTGATAGATAGAAAATTTCTCCGTCGTTTTTAGTCACACAATTATGAGATTTGGCAAAAGAAAAAACGAATTCACTATTAATATTTGACTTCATTTTCAATTGCCTCTGATTATTTGACTCATTCATACTAATGAATTAGTCAAGGGCAAAGAAGGTATTAATAAATGGTAATTCGATAAGTTTCAAAAAAACTTTTAGCGATAATTTCACGTCGTCATAGAGTCATAATAAATATCACTGTCCACTGATTTATTTAAGGTTATTGTGGTCAAATCTTTATTGCGAAACTTTTACATAAAACATTTTTCTGTATCTCTTTTAATAAACAAAATATATGGACGTTTTGAAATTGAAAAATTTGTGGAAATTCTATTGTATATATTAAGCGAGCAAACCTTTTCAAATTTCTGTACCTAGTTTATATCTTTATTGTGCAAAAACATAAATATGAAAATACAAAATGCGCTAAAATATTACTTGAATCTTCATTCAGTTTTAGAATGAATATCAACAGGTTAATCGTGAATTGTATCTATGAAAATTCTAGATATAAATTCATATTTCATTTTAAACATTGAACTGATGTAGATAAATTAACGTACAATTCAAAAAGAGTATGATAATGTTGCCATAAAATATTTTAAGATATGAACATTTTCAATGCTTTTAGAATGTCGAATATATTTTGTAATAGCATTTTACGTGATTTATTATCTTCCATCAAGAAACTGTTTCGTTTTAGTGACTTTCTGAATATGGTCTCAAATCGATACTAAAAGTTGTAAAACTTGTTCGTTAATGCCATTCTCCTGAGAGTTGTGTGTTTTTATAGGACTGGATTGGATCCACTTTTATTTTTTAATAAAATAAACGGTCTTTAAAATATAAAGTCTCATAAGAGACATATGAGACAGAGGCTACATAAAGCGGACATCCTGTACGGATTAACAAATCTAAATCCAATAATACGATGTCTCTGAAATGTCTGAATTTCTCCAACTTAATCGTTGTTTGCCCATTAATAACCAATTTTCAAACAATTTAAGCCTTAAGTAGGTATCTAAACACTGTTATCTTTTCCCTCCAGCCCTTTTGCAAAGTACACTTAAAAGGGTAGACCATTATTTTCTACTTAAACGTCTTTCAATACCCAACTCGAGCTATGCTGCAGTCAAACTTAAAACAATGTGCTTACAAAACGGTCCAAAATTGATTCGCTTAAATAAGTAGTCTGGCAGATAAGCTCGCCAGTATAGTTGATATTGACCACAGCTGGATATTATTTATAGTGTTTCAAATTGTTATCACTATGACTGAACGAATGGCGGAAATGCAAAAAAATACCCTGGCCGTAATTGGTTTTTCGTGTTTCATCATTTTGTGTTTTGTGACATTACTCAACACCTATCGGATGGTTCTTTTAGATGCTGAAGTGCAAGAATTGAGGGAGGTTGTTTCCAAATGTGAACCCAGGAGAATACTGGTAAGTAACTTTATGGGAACTTTAGTGGTCACCATAATGGTATATAAACTTGTTTTTAAAATAAGTTAAGATGCACTGTGCAATCGTGTGCCCTGTCGTGTCGATATAGTCGATAGAATTTAACTTTGAATGCAAATGTTCGTCTTTAATTAGGTCTGAAAGGCTGACTGATCCGGCGTAGTATTTTACTATTTTTGTCTTACTTCGAAAATGATACGGTAATTACAAATACATGGTTTAATATTCACTTTTTGTGAGCTCCGCTACCTCATCTATTTTGTACTTCAATTGTTAAATTTTGTGTATCTGTGGTTAGAATGGGACTATCGTAAATTTATTTTATTTAAATTTTTTTCTTATTTTACCGTATACTCGACTCTTTGGCCACGAAACTTTATTAACTTGGGAAAAAGATTATAATAAAAAACGAGTCATATCATAACTTAGTGAGTTGTAACATATTAACATTACCATTAACCGATTTTAACTGGATAATTTACTTCAAGTTTTAAAAATTGTTCATAAATATTTGTTTAAATATTAGTTTATTATTTCGAATTCAGTCAAATAATATTTCAAATATTAAGAACCATTTCATTCTTAGTCAATTTAAATTATTATTTTGATTAAGCGGACGAGTTAATTATATCTCGTTTATTGTGATCGTTAATGACGTGAACAGCAAACTATTACACACGTGCATCGTCCGACTTGTTACCACTTGAAAAATAGAATTCTTGTTAGTCTTGAATAGAGATGTTGAAAGAGTTACTCGAATACTCGTTAAAAGTGTTGAGTATAGTTACTTTTAAATATTAGTTACCAGTAGTTACTAGATGCTTATAATGTAATAATTTACGCTATTCGTTAATTTGATTGATTAATTACCGTACTAAACGTTACATTTTTCTAGGTACTTTTATTCCAATCTAAATTCGTTTGTAACTTTTTTCTGAAATGTTCCACCAAAAGTGCTAGTCAATGTTTACTTGACTTTTATTATTTATCTATACTATGGTAGAATGGTAATATATCTGTCGAAAAAGCGTAGTTGGGGAAATTTAATTATGCAAATTTATGCAATTGCCAAAAAACTATCTATGAAGGTACACATATATATTACTTAATAATTCAATTGTTTTGATTGCATATTAGTATGCTTCAGTCAATCTAAGAAGGAAAAACGAAAAAACCGTTAATAAATATATAGATAAAAATAGATATGTAATTGCTTTTAGACGTCTCTACAAAGATGCAATACAATAGTACAACGTTGATAATATTAATATAATTAATAAAGTGTTTCCTACAAGTCAAAATTTCTATTCAGGAAAAATTATAGGTACCCTTTTATCATTAGTTTCGCCAGTCAATTTTACCGGTTATCTCTGTTTATTTATGCATAGGGCGCAAGTATGAACGCAATGTATCAGGAACTCTTTACGTGCAGGGGCGACTAAAAACATTGTTGCATCAACTAAAAAATTATGTTATTATTTATAAACATTTTTTGCATCCACTGAGCAGTGGTTGTAATGTTACTGATACATTTGTTTTAACTAGTGAATCAAGGAATGATTAACAATTTCTGATATAGATTAAATTGAATTTCAAAGGCCCCGCGTACTAAAACCGAACAGCCAAATAAATTCAACAATCAAAGTAATCAACGTAATAAGTATATTGCTTTCGATTCGCCCACAACATCGATAAAATACTGAAATTCCAGATTCAAATCTTATTGCAATACGAATCCTAAAAGTAATCAAATTATTCGAGGGAGTTAATTATTCGAGACGCTCTATTCATTACTTTGAGTGGGCTCAAGTAACGACGAACTGTGACTATTCAACACCTTTAAAGTTGTAGCTGTAGGTAACATCTGCGCAGAAAAAAGCGCGTCGTTAGCACCGGGCCTTTGCACAAACATTTCAATCGATTTATATCTTGCTTTCACTACTTTCCGCATTTGTTGGGCTTGGATTAGTTAAATAGTTCTCCAACATAATGCGCATAGAAACACTTAACTAGGAAATTTAAAAATGCACCCAATGATTTCGTTCTTCTCTCTACCTTTCCATTCAGTGTAACTATAACTTGATATTTCCACGAAGCTCTAAGATACTTAGTTCACTCAATCAGACGATTAAAATATACAATTATGTCATTACACAATATGCGCAGTTTTGACGGTACCGATTTGGTTATCTGAACAAAGTTTATCAAACTGCACATTCCACGATATGGAAGCATTAATTCATCTATTTTATGCGGAAACTGATATGAACTGAAACAAATGCCTTGTTGTTTCATTGTTTCTTATAGGTGTGATTCTAGTAACTTATTACACAACAGCAATTTTGATGTTTTTGGAATGCTTATTTGTTTGTAAAACTGGTAAAAACTTTTCACACATCTTACAATTAATTTAAGTATTAAGATAATCAATATTAATATCCGTTGCTATAATTATATTATATTAGATTAGAGGAGCATAATCGTAGTTTATTTGTAACATGACATTGGAGTTGCAGGCTCAGACCACATGCTTTCATTTATAATTATTATGTGTTGTCTTATGCGTAAGTAAACAAAGACAACTGGTGAAAAAAAAATATAAAGGATCATACAAAATTAACAATTTCCTACTTTCCAATTCCGTTTTCCAGTTGTAAGTTTTGATTGTTTGGAAGAATGTTAATAGAAAAATTGCTCGCCGAGGCAAAAGTTGATAGAACGATGGAGGTTTAGCTTGCCTTCAAACTTTAGTTCGATACGGAGTTCCTACGGAAGTTCGAAATCTGGAAAGATATGCCCGAAACCCTGTCAATTCTTCTGTAAGTGCGTGTTGTTGTTTAAACCCAACAATGTCGCAATCATTGTTTATTAGTACTGTTTTCATTATGACCTCAGCTGTTCAGTTGCTAGGTACCACTTTGAGTTCTTCACCGACTATCACTTCCTCAAAAGATTTAATGTAGAACACTTAAACTATTCAAGCTTACACGTAGTACACGTTACGCATAAGATCTTCAAAAATCAACTGCACCTATGCTGCGGCAGTGACATGTTTGTGGACAAATTTATGTCTGAATGTATGGTTTCGGTTATTATTTTTAATAAAACAATTATAGAATTGTAAGTTTTCGTAATATAAAATTTATAATTAGCAATTTTGCTAATTTTATATATAACTTTCTTAAACGTGTCACTCGACTGTAGTAGTTGCTAAAACGAAAAGTAACTTTACTTTACAATTCATTCGATTACCGGCAATTAAGTTAATTGCTTTAAGAGAACTTTGTCAACCTTAAGTAATGACTAATTGTATACTTTTTTAGGCCAGAGAAAATCAATTTGAGGAAGAACGATATATTTCAAGAAAGAGGCGAGACATCCTTAATCAATCTTTTGAACAGGATAATAATTATCGCAACCAAAAATACACTGGATCCAAGGCAGCATCAAATTCTGAGCAGCACATTTTTGCAAGGTAGGTCACTATATTTAAGTCAAATAAAACCTAAATTTTATTCCTCAACAGCTTGTTTTTCAAGCATAAAAAAGCGTTTGAAAAATTACAGTTGGAAAGACAATTTCTTCGAAATCAATCGAATATTAATAATTATCAAGAGAAACAATTGAATGCTTTCACAAACTTTCAAAAGGATTTAAACTGATTGTTCATACAGGATGTACCTCCGATATGTGTTAATGACTAGTACCTTTCAAGGAAGAGCAACAACTAAAAAATAAAAAATCCGCACCACACAAAAACGCATCGGATTAAAAATAAATTCAACCTGCAAACAACTATTATGGTGTTTGGTGTTAAATTCAAACGAAATATTTGGGGTGACTGGATGGCATACAGGAAGGCACAAAGAAGAGAATGAACTTGATTCTTGCTAACGTAATCAAAATACACATAATAATTGGAATTATTTTTAATTATTCGAATAATTTAAATTAAATGTGCGTGATTGATACAAACCCCAATACGATTATAGTGCAGCATCATCAATTAAATCTTGCGTAAATATTTTTATTTTATAATCTGTCATAATTTTTTTATTTAAAAACGTATTGTGTACAATTGTGTAATTTCGCATACGTATAATAACATTATTTATTATTTTTAGTTGCCTGTCCTTCAAAAATTAAAATTTTGATTCTCATATGGATTAATAAAACATTTGTTTATTGTTATTGATTTTCATAAAAAAAGTATTTTGCTCGGAAAGGTATCTCTCTCTCGGAATTGCTTAAATCCACATCATCTTCCACGCGACTCTAAAACTTAATCGAATAAATCGATTTTATAGAGCGAAATGTATTGAAAACCGTCCCATAACTCACACCAGAAAAAAATAGTTTTAGAAAGAAATTCCTAAGCAACAAAAAATCAAAACGACCAGCAATCCGATCATATCAGCCACATACCGGTTTGCCTTCTCCTAGCAATCAATCAATTATTTGTTAACCTCTTTCAATGATAAGTGCGGTCGAGACGCGTTCAAAACTCGGAAGTTTTTTGAAAATCGCTGAGTATTTTCGAACTTTGTAGTGTTATTGCGGAGTGTTCCGTTTAATTTTTGACTAGCAGCCTTCAATGGAGCACATGTATGTAATCCTGTATTTTTTACCGAAACTATATTGTTTTATTCTATCTCTAATGAACTCCAAGATTATGAAAATTTTGCTTTGTTACAATTGAAACATTTTTCCCTGTTTATGTATTCTCAACGTGCATACAAACGCAACAAAAAGTTTGATGATTTATGCACGATTTTTTACTTTTATGGCAATAAGTTTTTGATCCGTTCCTTTTAAATTGCCTGGTAGAATTCGATAATTATTCAATATGATTTAAACGAAAGGAAATAACAGTCTTTAAATGCTCTAAACGTCTCAAATCGTCGAAAAATCTCAAAGCTTCGAAATAGGGATGGGACATCGATCCTATAACATCGATGGTAGCCATCGATGTTTACATCGAATGGTAATATCGGTGCTAAGGAAATATCGAAGGCAGAACATCGATGTTTGATAACATCGATGTTCTGATGGTTTGCAGTTGCATACAAATTTCAAATTGATTAACTTAAACTTAAATTATTTTATTTTACTACTACTATGACATTTTTAAACAATGCATTGTTACTTAATCGATTAAATTTATTCAACTTATAGTAACTTATAGTTGCCACACTTTTCGGTCAACTGACTGCAAAAGAGGGGTTTTTTCGGGTGCAGCTGGAAATGGGCCGCTATCCCGCGGTATCGTTTGTATCGGCACTCTCAAAAAGTTCGCGGAAAATGTTTCTATCTAGTATCATGATCAAATATCCGATATTATCATTTCAGGATCTAACATCGATGTTTTATTGATGTCCCAAATTTCCAACATCGATGGTAAAAATATCGAACGTCGAACGAATTACATCGATGTTTGCGAAACATTTAAGAAACTACTTTTATTTCGTGTTCGGGAATTCAATTTAAGATTTTCGCACGTTCAGGATCAAGAGATGAAATGCTATATACAAGTAACAGACAAACTTTTTGTGTTTATATTTATTATAAAGTATTTAAATGCAAAACAGAAGTTTTCATCTGAATTTTCATTACTATTAATTTGCAATAAATTAAAATGGTGTTGGTTCGCTCTAGACTCAAATAAATGATAAAGTCGCTATATAATAATTTATCTTCTAAAGCACATAATATACTTTATAAGTGTTTGTTTTTTGAGATATAAGTTGAGAACTTTGGCAACCTCTTTCTAGAAGTTAAGGACAGATTATCCGAAAAAATATTAGAATTTCTTCTAGCAAAGTTGGAAAAATTGACAGATTTAGCTGTAGCAAAACTTTTATTTATTTTATATATTCTGTAGTTTTTTTTGTAGATGATGGACTAAATTCAGTCAAGTATAACTATTTAGTAGGGCCGAAGTTTCCATTAAAAAATGTGATGAAGCTAAAATAAGCCAAACAACGTATAACCTATACAACGGTTTCTAAAAGGCGAGTAAAAAGTTCGAGTTCTACCACATATTCCGGAGGCTAAATAAAATATGACGATCTAACCCAACTGATTTCATAAATGTGTTCCTCTAAAACAAGGCGTATTGTTTAGATATTCGGATAATATTTTTTTTGCCTGAAAATCGACATCCGCATTCGTCTTTCGTATAAAATATCACTAGTAGTACTTCGCACACATTTATTTCAACATTGTTTTGAGTCACAACTTTATTCTAAAATACCATTTACTTAAAAACGTTCGTTCAATTCTACTCAAAGCTGAATTGAGCAGTCGTTTTTGAGAAATCTACTACAAAAAAACGACTACCAAATTGAACTTTTGAACTGAACAATGTTTGGCTATATAGTCGTATTTAAGATCGATACATTATAATAACTTTGTTTTGCACTACTTAGAGACTACAAATTTATATCTATTCGATTTTCACTTTATTTTTGGCTTTAAACCAAACTTCCTGTATATCTCCTTGTGCCCGACATCTCATCATTAAAAAAATACATTTCTGCTGCCAACAAAACATACTAATTTATAACGACGTTGATTGTAAAATGAATATGAAGGGGAGCCCCACTTAATCAACGAAAATAAAGAACATGTAATTGAAAAAAGAAAAAGGTTCGGGATTCCGAAATCAAATTGCTATGTGTAAGTAACTTGCACTTAGTACATCTCTTTCAGTTGCGTTTATTTTTCAATCCTGCGCAATTTTACAGCTCGTGTTCACACATTGTTGGTATATCATGTAAAATTGTTATTAATTTTTGATAAGTAAGTATGCATTTTTATTAAGAAACAAACCATCTTTCGAATTTTTTCTTTATGTAGATGGATTTTTATTTTTTCTAGAGTTTAAAAATTAATGTTGGAATCACACATCACTATTATTTGTACATAAAACTATTAACTGAACATCGTTTATCTACATTTTAAACTCTTGAAGATTTTTCATCAAGTTCATCAGAACTATCAACTTTTGATTCATATTTGAAATGAGTTTATTGTTAGTTGAACATCATTTCTAGCCCATGGAATGCAATTTTTCAAAACGAAAAAAGTGGTATTCCGAGGTCTTCATCGTCTATTAGAAAGCCTGCAATTCGATCTTTGGATACCAATGCAGAGGTCTCAGAGGTAAGCAAAATAGTGATGAATACTGTGATAGCTTTATACTGGATAACATAAAATTCAGCTTATATCAAACACAAAAATTTACGTGCTCAACAAGATCCGGTAATTGAAATCTGTTGTTTTCAAGTTTTATTCCAAAGAACAGTATAATCTTGTTGCACATATTCCCAAAGAGAAAATAAAACCGTCAAATATGTTTAGGAATAAAAATATTCTGTTGTTGATAAGTAGTGGATCGTTTTCTTGAAAAGTGTACCTTCCACATTTTGGTTAAGCAAATAATTTCTTAATAATAAATGAAGAATGTCTCAATCTTGTCCTCATATGCGATGTACAAATTCATATAATTCATTAATCTAACCTGAATAATCAGTCATGGTATGTACAATAAATCGCGCTAATATCAGGTTTTGCTGGACTTGAATTCTAATTTTTAGAACTCTTACTGAATTACGCCTTGTCAGGTTAACATATTATTCCTTCACTTTTCTGGTCATTCACGAACAGATATGTTCCTAATAAAACAAGAGCACAATTCTACGGTGTCCTACAGTTCTATATCTGTTCTACTCAATTTTCTTCAGTATTCTGTTTATATAAATCCTATGTTATTCAGGATTACAATGGCTCTTCAGAATCCGAATCAACTACGGCAGAACGACCGATTCAAAGTAGGCTAAGATATGGAAGAATTAAGCCTCTTCCATCTATTCACTTGAGTGGAGATACTTCCAGTTATGTGCTTGGTACTCATGAGAACTTCAACGGTAATGGTCACCTTAAACATCCGCAGAGAATTTTCGTTGACTGGAAAATCAGCAGTTGGGCCGAGTCGTTAGGGATGATGAATCACTTTGTTTTTGATGAAGGGTATTTGACTATCAAGCAACGAGGACTATATTTAGTATATGCACAGGTAAGTTGAAGCAATAAAAGTGGTTGCAAATGAAAACATTTTTAAGTAGCAAATTGCGAGTTAGACATTCTTAAATATTTTCAAAATTAAAAATGAAAATTTGATATCAGGAGCTAATGTACATTTGTTAAAGCTCACTGTGATCATCCCCTTGTGTAATGCATAGTTTGATCCTGTCTTCTATATCGTTTTTACCTCATCCTCATCAATCGCTGCATGAATTATTCCGATGAATTCGTCTCTGCTTCATAAGTTTTCCCGCTGAATAATTTCGAATTCTTTCCGAACTTGGAACATTCTATAAGTTCGAATCGTGTACCTACTTTGCTAAAAAATGTTAGAGAGTCAGGAATAACTATATACATATTTTATAAAAACGTATAACCTAGAGTCCAATTGTTTATCAAAATATGTTTTATTTGGGTAAACCCTGTTAGGAAATTAAAACGTCCCTTACATTAAAATCGTAATTAAAAAATCAGATAATACATACCGCAGTTACGAAACTCCCCATACATGATGCAAGCTTAATTTAATAATTTGAATTCTGGGGAGGTGTAGAATATTGTTCATTTTATTTCCAGTACATTATCTCAGCAGTGTTAATGAAAACGAACTGTTGCCGAACTCTATACATCAAATAATTTCCGGGAGTATAGTTGATGTTTTATGATACTTGAACACTCCCGACATGAGATCCTCGATTAAATGTAACATTTTATTTGCGTTACTAGTTAAATTATTACGACAGTCAGGATGTTAATGATGTCAACCATTTAAAACCCTCTATATATCTACTTTTCCCAACAAGTTATGATTTTTTTTAGATTTATTATCTTGACGAGCATGATACAAATGGATACAGAGTGTTCAAAAATGATGATATGATTCTCCAGTGCACTGTTTCATTACACGGTGGTAATGGAGTGCAAAAAGGAAACACTTGTTACACTGCAGGAGTTGAATATTTCGCTGACGGTGATAAACTCAGTTTGGGTGATATTCTTCATGGTCACTATTCCTTGTTCGAACCGGGAAAATCCTTTTTCGGAGTAGTGAAACTGGGAGACTTTCGAACTAGAATATGAAAGGTCTTACCGCAGTAAGTAGTATATCCCGCCGCTAGTATTAGGCAGAAGGCCAAACATCGAACCAATGCCTGTTTATTTTTTAATTGTTAGAAGCTTTATAAAATAGAATGTCTCACTGAGCTTTCAGATTTAAAAAAAGTATAGATAGACTTATACAATAAACGTTTAGCTAACATGGCATGTATTGTTTTATTGTTCGTAATCCCGTCCTTAAATCTAAAATCCATATATTTCTGGACTCTATTGGATGGTATTCGGACCAATTTAATCACATCACAATTTCTAAAAGTCAAGGTAATAAAACTGAGTGTTTACATTTAAAATATATTGAAACATTAAGTAAGTATAGTATAACTTAATACAGTCCATTCCATCTTCAAGGAAAAATACATAGGTGTCACGATCTCGAAATGAACGAGTTCAAAATGTTCCTGTATGGCATGATATTAGCATCACGTAGATTGATATACATTATTGTCATAATTACTCCAAAACATTGAGATCGCTTCATTTGTTAAAATATTTCTTACTTTCCTATAGCACTTTTTTACTTATCCTTTTATTCTACAAACGTCTGATCATTGTAGTTTTGTCTCATAATCAGCGTAACTGGTATTTTACCGTGAGCATAGACAACTTCGTTTTACAATTAAATCAAGGCCATTTTGTAATCATCTCATATAAGCTTAATTGAATAACAACAACGTTTCAAGGATATTCTTTTTTTAATTTTAAGCAACAACTAGACATCAATAAGTATTTGTCTTTCTAAACATATAGTAATATAGTAGTTACGTAATGTATATAACACAGATTGAAAATCTGTGTATCTTTAGGTATAGACGGAAGATACATGCATTTGACCGATTTCTTCAGAAACAGTTATGTTGGGATACGTTCAGTTTGGGAGACAACACATTTATCATTTTGAGTTTACATATCTGTATCCGGACACTGCAATTCACATTCATCGGTAAGAGCGGTTTGAGCTTGAAGAGACTTGTTTATATCTAACAGATATCTAACAGACCGGCGAGCTTCTTTTTTACACTCTTCTTTGCCATCACAAAGCTCAAATGCCTTGGTCAAAAACAGTGTGTTGCATTGCCTCGTAGGTGAAAACCAGCTGTTTTGGCTCTAGAAAATATAATTGAGACATAAATATAAAATAAATTTATAATACAACTATACTATAAATTTCGTTAAAGAATTGTATATCAGGTCCAAGATAACAAAATTTAAAATATGTAAATCATTTGTGGCTTTTTGAAGTGTTATCTATTCATGTTTGAACAAAACCCAAATAGAACAACTCATAGAACTATAAAATAATTTCTCAAAAACCTTCGTAATTAATAGGGATAAGGAAATTGGCTGAAATGTTCCTTTCTTCTTGAATACGTTTTTTTAGTCCACAGTCTTTGTAGCCTCAGCGATTTTACCAGTTATGTTTTTACGTGTTAATTTTCAGTTTCACGGTCAAATTCAGGTAATTCCTTGCTGGTGCTGTTCGTGTTTGTTTCTGTTGCATCTTGAGCAACTAACACAATTAAACCGTTGGCATAAAAAGTGGCTGGAAAATGTATGAAACTTCGTAGCTTGACCTCTACGGGGCGTAACTTATTACGGGATAAATAAATCAATAAATTATCACTAGTATCTCCGAAATATACCTACTGTGACAAACACAACTTAAAATCAGGGGTGGAGTGTCCTCAGTCGTGTTGCTATGAACTGACGTACCCTGTATATGATACTGTATACGATCTACTTAGATAAAGTGTTCAGATTGACTTGACTATTAACCTGATGTCCTGATTGACCGACGACACCAGTTCGCATATCACTAGAGACTTAGATGAATTATTCTGTTATTCTCATCTTCATGTCTTGCAGAATCGTGACAACACGGTATGTTGAGGTAATTTTTAGATTTTAGGTAGCTACACAAGTTTCTAGTAACGGGAATTTGGTCAGTTTACTTACACATAACAAGCACATTTGATGAATATGGCAAGCTGATTCAAACACATGCCCATAATAGCCTATTAACGAAGCAACATCATTGCAAGCTCTCTGAATCACTGGACATTCTGAAAGAAGCAAATTAGTTAAAATTAAACAGATAGTTTCATATTTTGCCTATTGTAAAGATGTGTTTAGAGGGTCATTTTATGGCTTTCTAAAAAACATTTGAATTTTAGTTCTTCTTGCTGTGAGTTAACCAAAGAAAAACGGTTCCTAATTGATTTTCGAAAATAGATGATCTTGGTAGTTTCATAACATCAGCTGTTGCCTTAGAATAAATGGAATTCAGAATTGGGGTTTTGCTTCAATTGCAACAATGGTGTTTTCTCCGAGATTAAGAGCGCCATATTTTCATTAGACATACTTAATTTTGCGTTACATAAACTTGTCAATTGTTGCTACCATAGTGAATGGACAACTGTTGATCTGCTCTGTTTTTTAAGATTTTGTTTAAAACTGTATTGCAGCTATGGCGCAAAGTCAAGAAAGTGTCTAAAGTTGCCATCTAATTTTACCAAAATAACGTTTTCAATTTTAAGCGTTTTTGCAAAAAATATCAACTACCTGGGCCATTTTTACATTCGATGAGATAGTTTTAATCTAAAAGTATTACTTTAAAATTTCCTTTTAAAAACCTGCGTGAAATAAGTGCGCATCATTCTAAGGAAGCCTGCAAACTAAATCAAATATCATTATATTTTTCATCATTACCTAGTATTGCAAAATGAGAATCTATGATGTCGGATGGCATTTTATAATTTTGCTCGTGGCAGTCTTCAGATGTCGTGCACTTGATGTTGTTATCGGCATCCACTGTGTCTTTGCTGTCAGAAATAGCTTCCTTTCTTGGAACCGAAACTCGCTTGTCTTCGGAAGTATATTCGGAAATCAGTTTTTCATCTGGCGTGGACTTCTCAACTTCCCTCAAAGCCTTTTCTATTTCGATTTTATACTCTTCCAGTGCATTTCGCATTTTTTCAATATTATACGCCTGGGCTAATCGAGAAATTATATTATCTTTAATTTGTTGGATCTGAAAGAGATTTCACATATGTAAGACCATGTATGAAAGCTAGAACTTAGGTGAATTGTCATAACTCTAAAAATTATACCGGGTGTTAATTTTAAAACTTTCCACTCTTAATATCTTTCTTACAGCTGAAAATTTGAAAAATCTGAAAGACCCATCAATTTTATTTGGAAGGGGGACACTTTAAATAGACATTTAAGATTATAATGGTGACACCTGCCCCTCCTAGGGGGCTGAAAAAAGGAGGCTAAAAATATAGATTTAAAGTGTCCCCCTTACAAATAAATTGACGGGTTTTTCCGATTTTTCAAATTTTCAACTACAAGAAAGACATTAAGGGTGGGAAGTTTTCAAATTGATACCCCGTATGTTCAAATACTATAAATCCGCGTCAATTTTGATTTCGGTGTGAACTCATATCTGAAGAAAGAATATATGAATATATCAAAAATGTATGTATGTATACAGGGTTGCTCATTAGTGCGTCAAAGTGCGATATCTCAGTAAATATGAAGTTTACAAGACAATTCGTCCAACGAAAGTTTTTCACGTTTAAAAGGTCCACATTCTAAAATTACTTTCCAATATACAGGGTGCATCATAAACGTGTGGTAGTTACCAACTCTGGTTTTTTAAATGAAACCCCCCCTTTTTTTTGTTATTTTCAGATTGGCCGTTCAATTTTAATTTATGTTTGTTTCAACCGTTTTACCTGAAAAATTTACGATTTCCGAGTTATTCGTAAAAATGTGAAAGTTTTGACAGCTACTGGGTTCCACAGAAATCGATGCTGTACACTACCCGCTGCGAATTTTGGAAAACAGTTTTCAGCGATTCTAACAGAACATCATGATCTACGTGTAGATATGTTTTAAATTATAAGGAAATACTTCTAAACCGCGCAAT